GGACCTGGGCCAAGCAATACACATCAACTACAGCTTCTGCGCAGAGGGCTGCGAAAGGGGAGAGAGCCTGTGAACAGGGGGCAGTGATGCCTGCTGTCCACCACAGATGCAGTTCAACAGCCCTACCCCTTTCAAAGTCCATCAGCCTAAATGATCTGATGCCAATTTTCTCTACAGACTGATCAGAAGAGGCAAGCAGGATGCAGCACTGGTTATAAACAAGGGGCTTTACTTGTTTGTTTGCCTTAAACATGTATTAGCTCCCCCCACCCCTTACCTCTCTAATTTGCAATTCAAGGCATCAGGTTTCTGCAGCCCCTGAAAATCCCAGTCCATGGACACACTATCTGCATTTTTCCACTGCTGGTGACAGACTGAAGAAGAGGGGTAATTTGCTTTCAGTATGTTGCTGACACCCATCCCTGACATTTCCCATCCTACCATTACACACCCTGACAACCTTGCTTATTTAAATACTTGGTGGATCCAAAAACGATTTCAAACATCCAGGGATTTGTTTGGTAAGCATGAGAAGGACTTTTAAGTGTTTGTGATACAGGCACCATTCGTGTCTGCGCAGAAGAGGAGCACAGCCCATCGTGTCCTAGATGTGAAATCACGCCTCTCCCCCACAGTCCTAGGAGAGGAAGCTGCTTCTCTTTTGTGGTGTCATGCAGATCTATTTAATTATTTTCCTCCTATATCACTTAACAAAGCTTTTCCCTTAGGATCCCTTTATACACAAAATGGCTGGGTATTCGCCTCCGTCTTTTGCACAAGCGAAACAGGAGGCTCACAGTTGCCTTGGATGAGATATTCAAAATTACAGAAGCTTATCTGTCAGGTGGGAAGGCTCACATGCTGCCTCTGTGGGGCAGAGACATTGCCAGCTGAGGAGCGATCAGCAGCCTCAGACAGCATTCTTTCTAAAACGTGGTTAATACTTCCATCTGCTATCGAGAGCTTTCATTGCATGCAAAATTAGGATTTAAAGCAGTATATGGAATTTCATCTGCATATAACATTTGCAGACAGCTTTCTTCTGTGTTTCTTGTTGAAAGGAAGTTGCTACTGGGTGCACGTGCTTTGCCACATAAATACTTCAAAGTCTTCTCCAAACATATGTATGGTTCTGTTCTTCCATCTGCCAGATAAAAGTTAAAGCTACAGAAGGGTGATTTAACAAGAATGGAAAGAGTCTGTTTTAGTTACTTTTCTTCTAGTTTGTTTTTAAATGCATGCATGGAGCTATAAGTTGTTTAAGCCCTGTATTCCTGTTCTTGCCAGTCATCTTTGCTTTACAGTGAACAGCATTGAGACATTCATCTGGCCTCTAAAAAACCAGAACAAGGCCCCCACCAGTATTAAGAGCAGGAAAACCTAAGTGACAGTCTGAGGGGTACTGGGATGTTTTCCAATAATGAGGACCAGCACACTGATCAGACACAATGACATCCTTTCCTAGCTGTGCTAATGCTGCTGGAGAGTGAATCCCCGCATTGCCAAGGTTCATTGCAGTGAGCATCTGTCAGAGCACGGGGCTGGACAGACATAGATTTTTGGCTGGGGATGGGAAGGAAACGTTCCTTGTTCCAAACACTTCCCAAACTTTGTATTTTGTTGGTGAAATGGTGCTTGTTGCCAGTTTTAAATGTGAGCATACTCTTATGATTAAATTACAAAAAAAAAAAAATCTATCTTGTCTATGCTCAATATCCAACTAGCTGGCAAATATCTTAAAGCATTTTTTAGTTCAAGTGATATCAGATTAAAGCCAGGACAAGCAACTGATGAGATGATGACATACACTGGAGAAATTGAAGGGTTCTGAGCAAAATCTCTCTATTCACATGCTGGTGCTTTGGAGAAACCACTAATCTCAATCATAATTTCTTCATGCTTTCAGGCCACCATTCATCCCAAAACACTCCAGGCTGCTGCACACAGGGCAGCTACTGAATGAGCGCATTTTTCACTACAAAGTTAAACTGTGTTAATCTGAAAAACCCCAAGCGCAGCTCTACAAGTAAACTTTTGAATCTTCAAGTGGTAGCAGTGACTCAGGAAAACCACCAGATAATCCTGCTTAGGAGAAAACCAGCACATAAACTGGAGTAAAACTTCTGCATCCAAACTAAAAATCGCTTCCCCTCGGCACTGTTCCCGCTACTCAGTGGTGTACAGCTGCTGAACTAGCCGATCGTGACTCTCCAGGTCGATGCACAAACTGTGGCTCATCTTCATTTCCACCCTGCTGTGAACAGGAAGAAGAAACTGTGCTCACCCAAAGGCTGCCTGTTGACTTTATGCATTGGCAGGATCATTTGCAACTCTTGCTGATGTTCAACCCCTTCGGCCGGTGCACCTTCTCCTAGAAATGGTTCCCCAAACAGCAATCTCTGTGTTTCAGCTGAGGGCATAAAAGCAGGGACTAGGACAACAGGTAATAGGTGTTTGCTCCTAGACATCCAATGTTCAAACATTCACTTTAAGAGAGAATGAGGTGGCACCAGCCAGAAGACCAGCCACACACACCAGGCAGCGCTGATGCAGCTCAGACTTGAGCCATGGTTGGCAGCGCTGGTGGGAGCACTGGTCAGTTACGGTGCCTTTTCGCACACGCACTGCCTGCTTGTGCAGCGTGTTTGGCTTCCACTCTGCAGTGTGGCAGATTAGATTAAACTGACAAACAGATCCTTTGGCTCTCAGATTAGTTTGGCCTTGGATTTCACGTCCAGGCTGTAATGCTGACAAAGACAACAGATGGAAACAAGAGGTAAACTGGGGAGAGCTAAAAGGCTTTGAAAAATGGTTTTGTTTTGTGCCTAGGAGGCATCCCCTCCACATCAGAGGAGGAACGGCCACAGGGCAGTGGCAGACCTTAGAACTACCATCCTGTTTGCAGGGCAAACTGAACACCTTCCCAGACTGCTCCATTCATGTGGCCACACACACCATGATTATTTAGATTGTTTAACTAAAAAGCTGCAGAGCAGAAAGGCTGCTTCGTATGAATTTGTCAGGAAGAACCAAATAATGCACACTATATCTGAAACAAGCCAGGAAGCAAACCTCTCCCTCCACCACTCCCCCACGCCCCTTTTACATGAACAAAAAATTCTGTTGCCTCTACAGAAGGCACCAGCTAATTAATTTCATTTCCCATCTCTTGTTTTATCAAAACAAGTATATTTGGTAGGGGCTGCCTGAACAAAGAAGCGATAGTAGGAAATTGCCTGTGTGGTCCTAATGCAGACATGAACAAGCAGAACCAGGAGACGCACAGCAATGCAAGAATGAGGCTTTTTCATTTATTTTTCTTTCACATATGGTTAGATAATAGATGAAAAGTGTCTTTCCACTTATACCTACTTATTGTCATAGGAACATTTTAATTTATTCTAACACATGCACGTAATCCCAAATTGGAAAAGCAGCCATGAAGACATTTAGAAAAATCACGAAGCTCCCAGCCCATCAAATGCCCATTCCCCACTGGAATCTCAGTCACGAGAAGAAATAAATCTGTGAGATGGAATATTGCTGAGGTGATTTGTGACTCCCTTCTAAATGGTCCCTTCAAACAGATTCCCCATCCATTTGAGAGCAGCAACAAATTTTAGCCTTGACAGCTATTTGGCTGCCCCCAACCAACGTAGAAAATGGGTAATGCAGACTGGGGGGGTTTCCCATGCACCTCCGGACACCCAAAGGACAGAGCCGCACACTATGAAGCTTCTTGCAGAAAATCTCATGAACAGACTGCCATGCCACAGCCAACAGTGGAAACGCATCCTTCCTTTCTCACCCTCCAGCCCTGCCTCTCCTCCTTTGTTCTTCACTGCTTGCTGTGCCTCCTTGCTTTCATCCCACATTTCTCATCCTTCACCACGCAGCGCTCCTGCACAAAGCCCAGAGGAGCCTGAGCTGATCATCTATATTAGATTTTCTTTGGAAGGAGCTTGATGGCCCAAAGGGATTACTGACAAGCATGATGCCACCACCATCACCATTAATTGTGTCCCCAGCCAGCTCTCACCCACATGTGAATGCACGCAGTCACTCAAACAACGCTGCCACATCTCCTGTCATCAGGCTCACTGGGGACTACCCTGTCCCCAGAACTACCCATATTACAACAAATGATTACTATAAATACTTAATGTCCATTCCTCTAATCCCTTTGTCAGAGCCACAGCCTCTCTAGACCAGTGTAAAACTTTCAAACAAAGACTTTGGGGGGTGTGTGGGGTATTTATAGATTGTTTAATAGTCTTTTTCTTACAAACAAGGTGCTATAGCACTTACAAAAGCACCACATTTTTGTTGGGGGGAGAAAAGGGAGAAAACAATGATACACTAAACGCAAGAGGAAACACTGTTAAACTCCATGCAGTTATCAGAAGACACTGAAAAAAATCAAGTTCTATTAAATACCTTTTACTGTTTAAAAATAACATTTAAATGTGCCTGTGATAGATCTGAGCTTTAGCTGCCTGTAACAACAACTGTTTTATAGCTCCAAGGAACTTATGCATTACAAGATATATATTTTTATATGTTTTTATTAACAGTCAACCAAAACCTCAGCACATCCGAAAGCTTCAGCATCATCCCCAGAACTGCATAGCAAACACATTCAGCTACGAGACTAATTGTATTGTCTGATGAAAGGAGGGCTTGAATAACATTTGTTTAGTCAAAGACAAAGTTGGGTAATGCCTCAGGCCTGCAAAGCAATTGAGGTCCCTTCAACCAAAGGGTTGTTGGGAAGAAACGCAGGTAAAACCAAACCGTTCTCCAGTCCGGGTTGCACTCAGAGGGCTGCCTCGTGTGCCCAGCATACTTCACAAGTAATCATCATCATGCAGCTAGGGAAACAAGTCCTGAGGTGCAAGTGGAGCTTTACCAAATACCTCTTGCTTCTCAAACAACCATGAAAGAAGGCATTGAAAAGGAAGGTTGGTCTCCATTAGAGATGCTGTTCCAGTGGGTGGGTGTTAGTCATCAAAGTCGATTCTGATGGGGCCGCCGCTCAGAATGTGGTTTGCCACATGCTCAGATTCCTCCTCCTTGTCCTTCTCCGTCTCAGTGGACCTGCGCACCCGTCTCCGGCAGCCCTGGGCACAGCGAGAGCTCTCGTCCAGTGCCCCGCAGACAAGGATACGGCAATGCAAGAACACCTCCTGGAGGGTGGTGAGACAGCAGGCCAAGTCACTGTGCAGCTCTGGGAACCAGACTGGCAGAGCTGCCAGCTCTCAGAGAGCATAAGCAACACAAGGGTTGCTGTTCCCTGCCCTCTACATGACAAGGAAAATAAGCAAGATCCCTGCAAGCAGCAGTCAGGGAAGCAAATATTTGTGAATGTTTGGTCAATGGTGAGATTTGAAGCAAAATCCATTGCACAGGCCAGAAGGATGCAGGTTGGAAGCAGCAGTAGCAATCAGATGGCCAAGCAAAATTTCCAAATTTTGAAAGATCTCATCAGTTTTATACCCCACAGAGGCTCTGCAGGAGCTAGAGACAGCTTTTTGCCTTTTGGAGCAAGAAGCATTGGCTGAGCATAACAACAGTGACTGAAAGACCTAATTTCTTCTAGCACAGAAAAGGAAAGCTATTTGCATTAGGTAAATGGCATTATCCTTCAACTGTCCTCCCACTACAAAGCTTCTGCCCTAGAGTGCCACCAGCCTAGACAGCCTGGTTTCACGTTGAATTAAACAGTATGGTGGCCTTATGGCTGGAAACCTGTCATCTGTACTCACAAGAGCTAGAGAAGATATAAGGCTGAAGAGATTAAAAAATACAGACTGTCTTGTTTTAAAAACAGGACATTGCATAATGTGCCTGACTCCCCAGGTTTCTGTTTGGTGACTGGGACCACTATTCTCTCCCAGTGTACAAGGGTCCACCAAGACCACACTGGAAACAATGATTTTAACTGCTACGGTGCTGTTGTTCAATAACTGTCCTTCATATTTTATTTAATTTTAGTTGTTTTCCTTACTCTCTCCCAAAGTACCTGGGGTAGCCTCCTGAAAGACACAACTGCTGGAACAGGCACAGCAGCATCTGCCTTGTGCCAGCTGTCCCTCCCCTTTGCCCTCTAATACAGCCAACTCTGTGCTGAGACTCTTCAGTCGGATCAGAGCTGACGCAATATCTGAGAGGTGGGTTTTGAGCTTACCTTATTGTCTTTGCCCACAAACTTGAACACAGGAACCTGGAAATGCTTGGCAAGATGGTCCTTTGATGTGTACTGTTTCACCGAATCATCAGAAACGCAGCTGAGGAAAGCAGAGGAATAGGCTTTAATGGGTTTTCCAGAAATGGAAAAAGAAAAGAGAAAAAACATCCCAACCTATTTAACCAGAGAAAGGAAAAGAGGGCTTGGCTCTCTCAAGCTAAGCTACCAGCCCTGTGACTTCCTCTTTGGCCACAGGAGACAATTCGGGAATGATGGGGAAAAACAACAGCGATGATAATAGCATCTCCAGACAAAGAACAGCTCAGCAGCAGAGAGCTGGCAGGACGTGGTCCAGTCCCCTCGGCAGAGGGACCGCCAGAGAGCTGCAGGCAAGTTTGTCCTCATTTCACCTTCCTGTGCAACAGTCTGCAGTGATCACCAGAACAGTTATACAGTATGAGATGTATTAGGTACTTTCTCTATACACACATATATGCATATAAATCATGCTTAAAATGAAGAAGTCATTACTCACATTACCAAAATATGAAACACACAAAAATTAGGATCTACTTTGCTTCACATAATTTACATTTTTCTTCCTGCTGGACTTGGTCAGACAGCTCAAATCAGCACAGTTAAGACTCATAATTTCAGTTTCTCCATCACTAGCACTATACAGTCATGCGAGAGGTCTCAGAACTGCATGAAAATAAATTACTTCTACAAAAAGTTACATTTCAAGTGCAGTCTATTTCTAAACTGTTACAGCCCATTTAGAGCTTGACAGAGAAACAGCAAGACAAAAAGTTATGGCGACTTGATGACTACTGCTGCCTATCGCAAAGCCTCAGGTGTTTTGAGAGGCCCTGATGCTGTTGTTATATTGAGTTACAACGCAGCTTGTCCCTTCTAGCAAGTTAATTCCAGAAATGTGGACTTTGCAAGATATGAAAAAAAAAAAAAGTAGTGGTAGAAGAGACAATAAGTGATGGTCTGACAGCTGAAAGTCTGACTCTTGCATCAACATTTAGCTTCCATCTTTACACCAGAACTATGTAACGCATTGTCAGGAATGTTGACGCTTGACATGTTCAATTATCAACCATCATCAAAACTCCTGTCTACATGCAGCTCTGCATTCACTAGAACGCATATTTGGAAATTTCTATGCTGTTTGGCTGACTTGGCTCCGTGGGCAGCAGCCTGCTGCAATCCCTCCCACAATTGCCCTTCTGCTACCTACAGCAGAGCAATGTATGTTCCTGGGAGCACTAAGCATCGGTCTGCTCCTAGCGTTATTTTCACCACCATGTATTTCTGCGGCTTTTCTCAGCCAGTGGAGGTCACGGTCTGAAGGGATATCCCTGTCTGCAGCACTTGTCTAGTTAAGGTGCCTGGAAGGCAAACATAAAAAGTCATCCAAGGGGAGCTAATAAATTAATGCTATGCATCTAGAAAAATTGACACGGATTCCTACGCCTTGAGGCCAAACACCAGATGTTATTAAGTTGTTTATGATAAAATTGCTTTCCAAAGTGGCTTTCCTGAAGGCATCTGATTGTAAAGAATGACAGTTAAGGACTTCATAAGTGACTGGCTGAACTTTGGGGCCGTACAGCCAACTCACAGGCATGTCCTTATTTGTGAGCATATAAACTGTGATGATTCTTGGACACTGGCTCAAATTGACTCCTACATCCCAGGTTCTCCAAAGGTTCTCCACACTGGTGCCAAGAAACCTATGGGTTTGGGGCTAGGGAGAGGGAAAATGGAAGAAGAACAAGGAGAAACCAGGGATATAATAAAATATTATGAGAGAGAATAAAATATCCACCTCAGCCCCAAACAAGGGGCACCTCGAGGTGTAGAAGATGAGCTTTGCAACGGAACTACCTTAACCACGTCACGCTCAGATAAATCACAGCTCCTGACCACATCAGATAACAAAGGATTGCCCTCAGTGACATGACCTAGCTTTGGATGCCCCAGAGAGCTACAATGTTTCTCGCCCGTGCACTCGGTCAATGCTTTTGATTAATTTTTGGTTTGAAGAACAAGATCAGAAGCAGGAGAGCTGTTTTGGGGCTGGCTATCTGGGCTAGCAGCAGCACAGGGTATTACAGAGACAGTGGGGAGGGGTCTGGGAAAATCCTCATTTCCAGCTTAGTCACATCAGCACAGGGAGAGGGTTGAGGAGTCCAACAGAAGACAGCTCCCACCTCTTGCCAACTGGAGACGGCAGAAAATTAGCAGGGAAGAAAGCAGGAGAGGGAATTTTCACATCTCTCAGTCTAAGGTATATCCCCTCAAATTTAAACAGTGTTTTCCTCTGGAAGCTGTGGTGAACTCCTGCAGGTCTGATCCTACATAATCAAACTGATTTAAAAATCCGATCATTATTGCCTTGGGCTTTTGGGGCTGGGTTGATGGAAGGAAACTGGCTTATTACAGAACTGTTTGGAGCAGGGACAAATCAGCAGTGTATTCAGCTAATTTTACTTTTTAATTGCTGTGAGCACACAGAGAGACAAAGAACTCCAGTTAGCTCAACAGCACATCATTAGCCTTCGGTCTAAGTGAGGGGTTCTATTTAAATAACAGCCCAGCGCACAGGGGCTGGGATGTCTGGGGACACTGGGGCCTGCAGTGACGGCTGGAGAGGGGAGCAGGCTGGGTGAAGTTTTTTTGCTCTTCCCATCGGTGGAGTTTTAATGCCCTCTGCAGGATAACAGTACCAAAGGGGCTGCTGGTGCCATAAATCCTCAACCTAGTGCTGCAGTGGATTCAAGAGGCGACATTTTCTGCCTTCTCTCTTCTCTGTTCAGCTCAGGGTTTAGACACTGTTTTGAACTCCATCATTTTCACTCGTGGTGGGAAATTAATGAATGTTTGGAGCCTTGACTCTGTGAAGGGTCCACAGGAACAGCCAAGCCAGGGAGTCAATAAATCAATCCTTCCATTACAAATCTGCTTAAAAATCCAAGAAGTGTCAGGCTCAGAAGAACTGCAGCCTAGGATGAAGGGAAAGCAAGCTAATGCTGAAACCTTTGTCAGAAGGAAACCAAAACAGTATTTTTGTGTCCTGGACTCTGTAGGACCCTTGTTCTGCAAGACAATCACATAGGACTCGTCATGACCGGCTGTAATGGCAGATGATTTAGCCTGGCAGCTGAGGAAATAACTGTTGTCCTCATTAGACGGTTTGTCAGACAGAACACAGGGCTTGCACGAGCACACTCTCTTGCCTGTTGGGCTGTGACACTTGGGTGTGTCCTAGATGTTAATTTGGCTGGCCTTTCCTCCCTAGAGGACAGCAGACTGGTTCCCAACTGGGACATTTCCACAGCATTGTCTGGTTAAGCTGCCAGGCACTGCTGGATGCAAACACTCCACAGCAATGGTGCACCATAATGCAGTCATGTTAGCACTCAATCAAGAGTCTGAAAACAGAGGTCATCTTAGGAGCCAAATGCCTTGGAAAATTCCAGCCAAACTGAGGGACCCTAAGCTTACTGCATTGAGAGGCATCAGAGAGAGAGCAAAGCAAGAGGAGCTCCTGGAGCTCCAACCCGGACCAGCCGTGGAGTCTGCTGGCTAATGCTATAATAAGGCCATTATGGGAAAATTAAGCATCTCACTCCAGTTGCTGGGGCAGCTGTGTGGCAGTGGCACACAGCCATCGAGGCATTGCGCCGATTGGTTTGGCACTCTGCAGGCTGGAAGAGGGAGGATATCAGGAAGGATATCTTTTCTACAGGAGCCAACTCAATTATCGACAAGGCTTGTTACAGGGAAATATGTCCTGTAAAGGCTGCTTTTGGAGTAACCTCCTTCACTGCCTCCCAGTGTTTCTCCCAAATCACTTCTGATGGGGCAGGTTGTATCCGCTTGATAGCCTGGCTGCTGGTGATTGCTGGGAACTGCTGACAGTGTTTCCTGCAATGCAACTCAGACCCACTGCCAATTCCCATCTAATAGTCAGCAAAAGAGGGGACAGTGAACTCACCCATCTTGGATCAGGTAGTACTTCAGGATCTCGTCAATTTTTGAGGTGGGAGTGGCAAAGCAGCTCTCTACCAGTGTCTCTAGTCCACTGACATGTACCAAGGGTTCAATCCCAAAGTACAGAGAGTCCCGAAGCTTGAGGGTAGGAAGAGCACCCCTGTAGGGTTCGTCAAAGTCTTTGTCTTTGAAGATCTCCAGAGTGAAGGGAAAGATGCCCTGGTTGCGGCTCATGATTTCCAAGGGAGAGTTCTTGAGGTTGGGCACATAACCTTCAGAGATGGTGTACCGACGTGGGAACTCACAGGTCACTGGGATCAGCAGCTTGCTGGTGCGAACAATGATGTCCCCATTGCTTCCTGGAGTCTGCTTTGGCAAGCCAGTCACCAGATTGGTGGCAATGATTTTATCATTTATTACCTGCAGCAAAGAAAGGAGTTTAAGGGAAAGGGGAGATCGCTGAGAAAGACCTCTCGGAGTTCAGACTAGCAGCTGAGTCTACCCTGTTCAGGAAACTCAGACACAAACTAGCCACTGAAAAGAAACCCCAGACAAAATTTAGCCACTGAAAGTACAGCTTGTGAATTTATAAGCTGCAACCAGAATGATGTTCATCCTTCCCTACGACCTAAGGGCCTCTATCAGTTTGCTGCCAACTTCGATGCACTGTACCCTTGCATGAAGCAGAGGAATTTGCTTCCAATTGCTACCCATCTGCTAAGAGGAGCTCTCCAGTCCCTGACCAGTTGCCAGTATAACCTTTGAAACATTATTGGGGCGGGCGGGGTGGGGGGGGGCGCAGATTCAGTCTTAAGAGGAGGGCAAAGAGTGACACTACTTGTGCTTTCTGCACTGGAACGATGGTGAAGCTGCCTCTGTGAGGTGCTGGGTGAGCACCCCTATTGACAGATGTACACACTGGAGAGGAGATGGAACAAGCTCTTCTACTTTGGGGTGCCACCCCCGGTCTACTCTGAGGCCAGCTGCACGACAACACAGGAAACTGCTCTGATGGTACAGCTAAATCAACTTTATTCCCCAAGAAAGCCATAGCCAAGTCCCCAAATCTGAGAGATTGCAAGAGATAGGACAGCAATGGGTATACGTACATCCACAACAGTGCCACAGGACTTGAGAGAGAAATGGATGTTGACGTGAGTGCCGTTGGATACTCCTTTGCAGGAAGTGTTGATGAGGGAAAGGTCCAGGCCTCCAACCAGGTCCTTTGGGATGCTCACCTCAATAGAGCTGGACTTGCACAGCACTGGAACTACAAGAAAAGTCCCCAGAATAACAGTCTGCACTACAGAACTATCAGGGAGCATCAGTATCAGAGAGCTGGAGAAGGACTACACCAACTACTACTGGGGGAAAGAAAGGGTAATTATATGTTTCATTTATGATACTATCTAGCCATAGTAATCTAATGACCTGTCTTACATTTCCATCTACATAACAAAAACCTCCCAAGCTACCACTGTCCCAAATTCTCCTGGCGCAGCAACACCACAAAAGACAACAAAGATGACCGCTGTACTTGCAGATGAAGCTTGGCTGTACAGTATCTCCAGCTATACTTAATACTCGGCACAGGTTTGATTGAACTCTCTTGCACTGCTATGTCCTGGGCAGAGCCCTTTCCAGATACGGATATCAAATCCACAACACCCCAGACAAAGCCATTTTTTTAAGACTCTTTATCAGGTTTTACAGCAAAACCAGAACACGTCAAATCAAGGCAGAGTAATTCCATATAGATGCTAAAATGGAAGCACCTCAAAATGCCACAATAATATTTTTATAAGCAATAAACCCAGCCCTGACAAACCAACCCAATTAGCTTGCTCATTCCACCTTCTTCCAACCTTTCAATTTTAATACAGATCTCCATGTGAACTTATTAAAATTAAAATTCCATGACATAAGAAGTGGGAGAAAACATAGATATTGGACAAAATGAAAAAGGAAAGAAGAGGTAATAATCTTCAATAAAAAAAGTAATTGCTATATATTCCTTGGGTGTATACATCTCTATTCAGTTAGATACAGGACAAGCGTACTGGTGCGTGCGTATATTCTGGTCTCTTCTCAGCCAGAAAAACAAACCTCCTCTAGAATTTCCACTTATCATATTTTAAAATCACATGACAGAACTTTTTGCAAATATACCAGTTCCCCAAGCTTTTTCGTAAAATTAATTACAGTACCAATCCTTGACATTCATATGACCTGCCTTCCCTGAATTTTGATCAGGTTAATTATATAGTCCAAGGTTCTACATCTTGGATACAAGGCACGCTGTTAAAACATGCCTTTACCCTCCTTAAAAAAATTCTCATGTCCCAGCTAAGGTATTTGTGACAGCTACTGCGTACCTGCAGGGAGTACTTTTTTACAAAAAGTTTGATCTTTTCAAGGGGATATGCTAAAATGTATGCAGCGTGCCCAAAGCAATGTGCTCTCATAATGACATTGCTGGGTTAGAACAGAAAATTAAAGAAGTAAGAATTACCTTAACTTCTCCTCCACCTGCAGTAGAAGGCAAGCGGGAATAACCGATGATATCAAATGGCAAATCTCACAAGGAGTCAAAGGGGCTTTGAGAACACAGCCCAGTGCAGAGATGAATATCTTTTGGAGAACTGATTGGCTCAATTTGGATTTAAAGCTTCACTGTTACAATAACTCTTTGATGAATAAAAAAATTTAATGCTTTTATAGAGGTGTAATTCAGGGCAAGGTACTTCGGAACCCAACTGCAATTCTCCAACGTTCAGGACCAATTTGGTTCAGGCTAGCTCTGTTTTCAAATGTCTTTGATCGGCACAAAGGGGAAGAAAGATAAGACACCCGTTTAATCTCTGCTCTGGTACTGGAGGAGTTGTCTGCATGCACTCCACCACCTGGGCACAGAAACAAGTGAATGAAACCTGTGAGCAGATCCACCTCTGATGCATGACAACTCACCACTATTTGGGAAAACATACTGGGAAACTCCTTGTACTAACCATTTGAGAGTAACTGATAACGTAATTCAAACCACCCTAGACATCTGTACACAGAAGAGTAATCAGTACTGAGAACAGTGTTTCAGTTCTACCAGTTTGAGGTTCTGCAAGCAAAGAGATTGTGGGCATCAGTGTGATTCAGCTCTGAGCAGGCCCAATTCCCCCAGGGCCAACTGCCAGCAACAGCATTGTAGGAGGACCTGAACAGGAGCTGGCAAGGAAGCCGTGACTATATGAGACACGTTATTCCAGGGCAAATGATGAGGTCCTGCCTGCCAGCACTGAGATGCCCCGCAGAAATGAGTTATCCTGGGTGCTGGGGAACCCTCTTTTATTCACAACTTCGTGCATCCATTCAGAGAGCTGCACTCTCCTGACTTGCTGTCAGCATCCTTTCTCTTGCATCCCTCAGCCCAGCTTGTGAGGTTCCTGAGAGCCTCGCCCAGTCTTTCCCCATCAAACATTTCAGTTCTTCACCTCATACGCCGCAGAGCACCTGTAAATACTGGGAAAGCCTCCTCATTACTGCTTTAAACTGCTTTGTACCAATGCCTGCAAGTACCCTGACCCTGGTAGGAAGCTTCTGCAGCAAATCCAACACTCATTTTGCTGTCCTCTATTGTCGGCACTGTGATCCTTGTACAGCCTCCAGCTCCTTCCTCAGCCTTTCAAAGTACAGTTGCCTGGAGCAGTGGCACAGACCGCTCAGTAGAAGAGGCTCTCTAGTGCTGGGGAGCCCTGAACTACAGCTACAAACACAAATAAACTACGCCATCATAGCCTCCTTAGCTGCACACAAGGCTTGGCGATGGGAGAGGGGAGAAAAGCATTTCATCATCACATTTCAGAAAGAGGTGGGGTACCAGGAGGGTCTGAAAAACTCCAAGTATTTTGCTGGCTCATTTGTTGTGGGGAAAATTGTAGCCAAGGCTGTGATTTTTGTGGAAATGTTTGGTCTGAATGTAGAGACAGTGCAGAGGAGGATTGATAGGCTGCAGATCCAATAGCTTCAGGCAACTGTGCCTGCCCTGCACTGTTAACTGTACCACTATAAACCTGATTAGATGCCATAAAAATTGTGTGGTACAGTTCCAGATATATTCTGTCATGTCTGCTCAGAATTGCAGACCACTGTGTGGGGACATAAATTAATGAAATACAAAAGAACAAGCACCCTTGCTTTATGAGATGCTGTATCCCAAGCCCCAGACGCACCCAGCAGCACTGCTGCTCTCATTAGCAGCCTCAGAAGAAGGAGAAACACTGGCTGGGAAATGCACGGCCTTATAACCCTGCTGGTGTTGCCTCAGGGAGCCAGGATTGAAGAACATTCCTCTTTTCTGGCCTGTATCCATCAATCAGACCTTCAATCTGAGGATAATCACAGCTCTCGTAATCCCCATCTCCTCCTCCCCATCTGGCTCTGCTGGAGCAGTAAGCACTACTGAATCTCAAGGGTGCTGTGCTCACCCCTGAAAACAATGCCCTGCATTTCTAAAAAGTTTAAAAAGCAGAAATTTCATCGAGTAGAACCATTCCAACTTCCTCTCCAGGGCATACCTGCCCTGTTGTGGACACCATGAAGCCTGGATCTGTTCCTCTAACTGATATCTGGGCACTTTGTAACTCAGACTATGGGAGATTCTCAGCACACCAGGTAACACCAGCTCATTGGTATTATCTAAAGCCCAAGTGAATTTGCCTATGACAGGCTCCCTCCTGCATTTCAGATCCTGCCCTGGCTATGGCCCAAGTCCATTAGCAAATTCCCACAGAAACGTTTGAAAGCAACCACACAGGCTCTTTAAGGGCCCACCAGGGCAAAATACAAGCAGAGAGCTACAAGGTCTGTCTCTACCATGGCAGTAGCGTGCCTTCTCCATTTCTGTGCTGAGCCTGACAGCTCTGAGACATGGCCAGGCAAGTCAGATGCTATCCTGAGCACTTTTCCAAGGGACAGCAGAAACACCTAGTATCAGAACTAGTGCCCTGCTTAAAGACATAGGAATGCTGACTGGAGTGGCTATGGAGATACTTGGTCAAAAAAAGGCCTCTCTCTTTAATCCCTTTCTTGGAACATACTGAACCACTTTAGCTGACATTTTAAAGTTTGAAGCACAGAAAAATTCAGTTCTACTAGGACAAATTTGTCAAAGGCGTACACAGCTGAAGCAGAGCAACATAATGGGTAATGTTAAGCAATCTTAATTGTAAATGAACACTGACAAAACCTTCTGTGATGCAAGATGCACCCAGCTGGGTCCCGTGTCTCTGTTCTCCTGCCTGGTAGAAGGAGCACTGCCTCCAGGCTCTCAGTTTTGGATGATCTGTCATTAACAACAAAGCTCCATTAACCGAACTGGAAAGGACAGACTAAGAGAACACAACAAAACCGGGAAGAAAAGTTCCTTCAGACATAGGTTTGACAGCCAGGGACAGAGGCTGTCAGGAGATTTTGTTGACCTACCTTGGCAAGTGTGGTTGTCTTCTGACAGAAGAAGTCCTCTCGGACATTCACATTGGTATGTGTCTCCCATTTCAATGCAGGTGTGGCTGCAGCCTCCGTTGTTATTGTGACAGCCTTCAATTTCTGCAAAAGGAAGGAAAATCGGCACACGCTGCTCCTTGGACAGCTGCGTGGCAGCTACACAGACCCCAACATGTACTCCTGGCTGACTAATAAACAGCATGACCAACACAGAACTCAAAGGCAACAGCATGGTGAGAGTTTACTTCCAAGAAAACGTGGTAGAAACTTATTTTTCAATTGTACAATTTATCGTGGTTCTCATTTCACCATGAAGTTAAGGAACTCTGAGAAAAAGCTTACCAAATTAAGTCACATGCTATAACTGACATACATCAGGAGGCTGAACAAGCAATCTTCAGCATGGCCCTCTCTAACTTCCAAAACATCCTCTTAAACTATATTTTTTTATGTTGTTTCTTACTTCAAAAAGGTGGAGGGAAATCCTCTTAAAACTTCTACCATGTGGATCCCTTAGTCATCACCAGAATTCAAGCCCTGAGATGTGCAGGGGAGGTGTGTTGTGGAAGAGAGACTCACAGGTAGCCAGCTCCTGTTCCCATCAGGGAACACCAGAGAGAAGATGACACGCTCTTTGCCTGCGGGTTTCCCAGCTGGGATGGCGGTGGGTGTACCAGATTCTGGCATCTCCTGTCTAGGCTGAGGATGAAACTCTGCTCGTAGGAGTCTGTTTAGCAGGAATTTTGCTCGTTTGCGAGTTTTAGGCTTAGAAGTTGGCTCCCGTGAGGGGCATTACCACAGGGACAGAACGACACAAGTTCACGGTGTAAGGTTGATTCCTCTCCTAATCTTCCCTCATTCTAAAGTGCAGAGGAGAGAGGGCAGCACAGCTAATTGGGGGATTTAGCATGTCTTTCCTTACATCTTTTCTGTTCAGGGGAGGCAATTCCCTGAGGATCAGAATTTTTGTGTAAAACATATTCCTAGCCATTGCAGCTGCAGAAAAGAGCCTGAAAGGTCATTCGAATACATTCTGAAGATCTGAAAATCTAAGGCAAGTAAGGCCTTGTTGTTGACTTTCTATTACAAAGAAAATAACAGAGTACCATGATTTTTTTTTTAAAATAACCTTACCTAGTTGATATTTTTAACTCTTCAGGATCTACTAGATGTTCTCAGTAAAACAATAGCACATATAATACAAACAAGTAATAAATAAAAAGTATTTCTCCCTAAGCCTGCCATCAGAAACGACTGTGTGGTTTTCACTGAAATTTAAAGAAAATAATGGAAATTCCACACTCAATCCTACACATTGCATGGGAAATAGCCTGAATGTTCCACATGAGTCACAGTAATGGCTAAAGCATTATAAAGGAAATTTTGAGATACTCTTAACCCTACTCAGCCTCACCAGCTCATGTAATCAAGCTAAATCCCTTGCATTTGTTCTTTTTAGCAACAGCTGTGAGGTGGCTCACAAAAAAATCACATACTCTAATGGCTCACAAAGCTGAGGGCACATCTTTAGAAATAAAACTCACTAACAAGATTGTAAAAATCCCCAGCAGCAGCAGAGTTAAACTCATGAAAAGCACCATCCTTCTTACAGAAGGGGAAATTAAATTATATATCAAAGGACCTAAAATCCAACTTCAGGAACAGCAGAAATAAACGAGTTTCCAAGCCTATTCCAGCCCTGTCAGAAGAGTGCAGTGCTTAGGAATAAAAACTGCCACGTGGCACGGGTGTTTAACGTGACACCCCACGAGCTCAGTGCTGGCTGTGGAAGCGACAAAGCCCACAGACCTCTTTTGGCCACACACAACTAAACGTGTACTTAAAGGAGCACTCCGCACAGCAGCCTTCCCCAGGAAGTGTCATTGTCTGGATGAGTGATATTTTATTAACAAAGCTCAGAGAGGAAATTTTCACAGAAGTGAGATGAAATGTGGTTTGGAATCAAAAAGGGGGAAAGGGAAAGACAGGGACAAAAACTGCAGCTTGGAGCCATCTGTCAGCAAACTATAAAGAAAGGTGGAATCTAGCTTAAAAATACAATGGCAATCCCTCTCCCTCCCTCCACCACAAATGTCTACCACGCAGCTGCTAATATAAGCTGCGTGCAGGCTGCAGATGTATTCAGTTCTGGCAATCAGGTACCTCTAAAGTGAGGCATATCTGTAGCTATTATTCTTGTGTCGCAGTATCTGTGAACATACAACCCAGCAGCGCCTGTGAGGAACCACGGCGCTCTTCACAGCTGACCACAGAAAACATCAGGCACAAGTCAATTTTTCCTGGGTTTGCATAGTTCTGCTTTGAGATGTTTGTACACTGTTAGTCACAAGAGATCAAACCAAATTGTAATTTGGTCTTTAAGCCCCTGCTAAGCTACCAGTCTAAACTCAGGAAGGGTTTTCAACCTGGCTGTGCCACCACTGCAAAGTAACTGTAGCTGCTGCACACAGCAGAGCCCACAACTAAGCGCTTACAAAAAGCAAACAGTCAAAACGCAGCCCTAATCTCAAATCCAGCTTCTATTTACAGACTGGCACCCCTTCTCCTCAATCTCTATCCTGGGATGATGAGCCATCATCACACTCTAGTCTAATGACCTGACATTACTTCATACTTAATGCTAGCTGTCAAGAAACAGCAGTGCTAAATCTGCCCCTACACAACTATCATACAAATCTCCAGAGCCAAATCCCAGCGTCTCCATCAAGTACTAGTTCTGCCTGGACAACCAGTTTTCCAGATCCACTGCAAATCCTAACAGAAACAAACGAGGTGGGGAGAGCAACAAGGAGATTCCTCTCAGCTTGATTAGAAGGATATTTTCGTAACAACATCACTGGCAAGCACAGAAGTGATATGAGTGACATTTAATCCCAGCTGCAAAGAGCCAAGAGAGAACTATTGCTGCAAGGGAAGGGGAATGATTTATATTGTTTCCAGCAGACTGTGAGAGCTGAAACCTCACCTTCGCAGGTTTTCCCGTCACTTCCCAGCGTGCGCCCGATCCCACACTCACAGCGGTAGGAGTTCTTGAGGTTAACACAAAATTCGCTGCAGCCTCCATTGTTCTGCTCACATTCATTTTCATCTGCAAAAAAACCACATTGTCATAACGTGCTCCCTGGTAAACACACAGCTGGCAAAAAGGGGTGCTACATGGGAGCACTGGTGAGACCACCGACTGGCTTTCCTGGCCTCATGACCTAGATTGGCGCAATGGAGATGAGAAATCCCACTAAATGCCAAAGACCACTGCCTACTGACAGTAGCAGAGTGCTTTGTGCCATGCTGTGTCGACCTCACGAGCAAAGCAGACCTGGAGGGAAAGACCATGCGGACATCGCAGCCATTTCAGAGTGAAGATGGACACAGAACCATTGGGAAACTTCTGAACTGGTGCCACACACTGGGGAGTTCACGTTTTCATTGTTCTTCTCATCCTAAACTATTCCCCACTCACAAAGATATTAAAATAGAGCTAATGTGATTTCACTGGATGGCAAAACTAGGTGCATACCAGAATCGGTTAAAAATAAACCCTACCTGTTTTTGTATCACACCTGCTACTGCTATCTATCCTACAGCAATTTTAAATAATTTGCCCCTTATTTCAAAATAAAGACACAAGAACAAAAAACAGCTGTAAAGATATAAACAAAGCTGAAATCAAGCCAAAACATTTTAATGAACCCCATGAAGCTTTCCCAAGAAAAGTCTTGTCATGAGAAATCTCATCATTTTGTCTTCCTGCCCCAGCTGTGGCTACTCCCTGCACTGGGCAGATCAGATGTTTTTGCAGAGCAGAAATGCCAGCTCACCATGGTGAGACCTAACTTGGGCGCTGGTGCCATAGAGGCCACCACAACCATTAGTGGCTTGGACACTCGGTCCTGAAGATGAGACGAAGAGCTCAGTTCTAAGCTTCTCCCTCTGAGGACTCAGCTCCTCTCTGTGCCACAATGGCCCTCCCTGCTCCGCTCTGCTCCTCTGCAGCCCTCCACAGAGCTCTGGCTCCTGCCTGTCCAGCTCAGAAGAAAAAGCAGTGCCTGAGCTGGCATCCCACACTTCTTGGAGCAGACTCTGGATAAAGGTTGCAGAATAACCTTGGAATAGGCCTGGACTGAGCTTTTATAACCTAAAGCAATTTACCCATGAATAGCACCTGTGTCATGTTTCTGCACTGGCTGCACTCAGCTCTAGACTAGAGCCCTCCAGGGTGCTGAGGGTCTTTATCGAGGAAAAAGCACAGCATGTGCTTTTGAATCTCTTGGAAGAGCTCTGAAAACTCATCCTAATTTTCTCTGTTTTAAAGGCTAAAGTTCCTTTAAGTCCATTTGCCTTTTTTTTTTTTTTAAAGGTTTTTTGTTCTCAGAGATTCTCATTCTTCAATGTGATTTAATCTCTGTGTGCAAACAGTGAATCAAATAGAGAGGAAGGGACAGTCACTGCTATTGCTGAGCCACAAAACTAATGATTTCTCTTAGGCAGGCTAGAATGCTGAGGTTATCAATCAAGGTTCACATGGGGTTTCACCAAAACAGCTTGGAAGTTACTATTTACTAGATGTCAGAAGCCTAAAACCGAGAAAAAAGAAAAATACCACTTTAGAGAAGGCTGGTGCTATTTTCTCCTTCCACAAGCGATATGAATTGAACATTTTTAACCAAATGGCTGGTACCCCGCTTTGGAACACAGGAAGCACGTCCAGGAGACACACACAGGCACATCCCTTTTCACGCATGTGACAGCTCCACACTTTCCCTTTTAACCATAAAACTAAAGCTACTTAAAAACAGAGGGTGAAGAGGGAAAGGGCTGCTGGCAAAGGCACAGGGACGCTGTTAGAAGGTCCTAGAGCTTGGCTTGGTCAAGGGCTGTACCCAGCAATTCACCTTGCTGGTTCTCCAACACAGCAGATCGGTCCCCTGCTTTTCTGCACCAGCGACAAACAGCACTTCTGGGACACAGGCTGGTTTTCTTGAGGCTGGGTTGGGAGAACTGATTTTAACCATGGCTTAGTCCAAAACAGATCCAGGTATTCAAGAGGTCAAAGGCAATGTACTGAGTTGGTGGATCCATGACAGAAAATCAGAGACCTAATTATCCCCCAAATAAATTTGCAAATTAAAATAAAACTTAGAATCAGCAGCTCTACTCTGGGATCCAAAGCATATAAAGTACTGAAGAGAAGTCAGACTAGCACAGGGAGGTTCACAGACAGAGCTGCTTAGCATTACTGCAGCATCTTCAGCCCCCCTCTTACAGTGAGATGGAAAAAGAATAATATTCTCCATCTAGGAAAGGCATAGGAAAGGCTAACACAGATTTGTTTTGTTTCTCTGGAAGGCCGGCACAGGTGCTCTCAGATAAGTGACTGTGCAATTACTCAGCACAACAGAAAGTCATTAGAAAGAGGAGTGACCTGTACAACAAGGGAGGCTGCAGGCAGGTAAAGCAGTGTGGTTATTACAGCCAAGGTGGTGTGCCATCTGGGCATCATGAAGAGAAGCAGCGAGGCACAATTCCTACCCGGCCGTGGGAGATGAAGGTAGCCCCAGCACACAGACAGACTCAGGGCTCCTGCATGCCTCCCTGCTGCAGGAAATCCTTTTCTGCGAGCCTGCCACACATTTATTGAGTGCTGGTGCTTGTCAAGGGTATTTCTGTGCCTGGAAGTCTTGCAGAGAAGCAGCCAATAGGTGCTTTTAATTAACTGAGGGAGCTAAGTCCGCTACTCATCTGCAGAGATGCGGAGCAGCTTTAGCAAAACTGTTCTGCAGAATTGGTGTGAGCAAGTGTAAATCTGCAGCAGGGCCAGGCTGCTCTCTCCACAGATTGTAACAACCATGGTCCCTACCCTGATGCTCACAGACATGAGGAGTGTGAAGAAAGAAACCGCCCATGCCTGCTTTGTCAGGTAGAGTCTGTATGGAAGAAACTCCTCTGCCACGCAGCCTGCTGGACCAACTCTGCTCTCAACTCCTCCACCAAATCAAGCCTCAAAGACAATGACAAGATCCCACTTCCCACGAGATCCAGGCCCTGGACTATGCCCCACAAGGACAGGAAGTATGGTGAAGCTTAGTGCAGAGCCCTACACCAGCCAGCAAAACTTTTATCGGAGGAAAGAGGCATTCAACAGAGCGGGCGAGAGGAAATCTCTAATGACAGACTGCACAGCCATTCCTGAATACCAATGAGGCTGTCTTCAGCAGCTGGACCATGCAGAAAGCAAATCTAGCCTCTGTACACATGTAGCTCCAGAGGTGCCAGAATGTATTCAGTCATGGGATATTGTATCTCGCCCTGTGGGGAGAGATCTGGAACTGTTTACAGAATCAAAGACCTGTTCTAGGCAGCAACGGGGAAAAACTTTTCTCAGAGTACTTTTTTATGCTGCTTTGTGAGACAATGGATTGAGACGTAAGCAATGAAACAAAGGAGAAAGAAAGCATTAGTAACTGACATGAGTTATTTCCACTCTTACCCAGACACGTCTGTCCATCAGGTCCTAGCGTCGTCCCCGAGGTACATGTGCAGTCGCTGGTATCCAGACAGGAGTCCTGGCAATCCACCACATCACAGATGTCATAAAAATCTAGGACATGACAAGAATGTTGTCAGCACAAACCACTGAGCATGCAACAAAAATACTGTATTTGTATTGTCAGCTTCATGCCCTGCGTCTAGTCCGTCAGTTACAGACCTGGCCCACATTAGGAAAGCCAAACTGCTGAAGCTGATGCGAAACAATCTAGTTTAATTACTGTAAGTCAGAGATACAAATTTTAGCTTTTGTAGAATGCCAAGACAAACCTCAGAGCCCACTAAGGGCATTAAATCACTGCGGCCAGGTCAGCTACGGAAGAATTCCATTAGCTGAACAAAGGCTAGACTTCATGGAGGTAAAACTGTCTAATTGATCTCGTACAGAGAGGCCACCATCTGCACTTCATCACCCAACACGCTGCTGGGTTAGAAAGCCAGCAATCCATCACCACTTCTCTCAGATATATGGATGCTCACTAACTCTCCTGCATTATGGGGACAAAAGGGTTTCAGAAAAACGATCTCAGCAGTTACTTACGCCCACAGTACGCATGGAAACAAACGCTAGGCTTGGTTAAGTGATACACGTAGTATCCGCCCGGACACGCCTTGACGTCAATCGTGGTATTCCAAAGGCAGCAGTTCCCGTTGAAGCTGGCACAGGCCTGCCGTGGGACGATGCCATCTGACTCTTGCGGGTGGCTGCCATTCAGCCAGATGGGAGCATGGGTGCCACAGTGGTTCTCTAGTATGCAGAAGGTAGGCATGGCATCGCCAGCCATGCCAGTGAAGCGATACCACTCCCCGTCAATTTGACTGTCGCACGTTGGCTGGCCGTGGGAACCATTTATCTGATGCTCTGTGTTCCTCCAGGGCTCGTTCAGGCTGATGTAGGCAGAGCAGGGGTCCAGGGCTGAGACATGTAGCAAGAGACAAGAGAGAACGTCTGGTAGATATCAAATCAAGTTGTTGACTGATAATTGTAAGGAATGCAAAAGAATTTTTTTTTCTATTCCTGACTTAACAGAATCATTGTGATAGAGAACCCCAGGAAGAGACAGCAATGCCATCTAACTAATTGCCCTATGGAAAATTCTGACAGCTCGGCTTAAATGTCTTGGAACAAAAAGTAAATTGACAGAGCTCTTACAACATTATGCAACAGTCTGACTTGCTGTTTGGCAGCTGTAGAGTATGACATGGGAAAAAAAACCAACCCACAAATCTGAGGTCCAGGTAGTGATTTTGCCACAGGAAATATGTCCTGGGAGCACTGGATCTAGCCTAGGACATCCACCCTTTGTTCAAGTACTAACTGAGCATCTGCAAGCCCCTTCTGAAGTCACAGGTAACTCTCCCACATGCCTTGGAGAAAAGGACCAGACTTAAAACAGGCTGTGCAGCCTCTCTCAAAATCCATCCATAGCCAGTGCCACCCCTCACAGTTGAGTTGCCATGCAAAGCATCAGGTAAAATATGAACTGCAAGACAGGCAACAGGAACACTACATTTAAGGTATACAGAAAGAAAAGATTCCATTTCAATTATTAGACTTCTATATAGTTGTAGCAACCTCTAAGCATAATTTATCAGTTCCTACTCATTTCTGGGTACAATTTTAAACAGATAAATATAAGAACTGCTCTCCCAGGTCACAATGAAGTTGATCTATGGCCCTGCAGGCTGTCTCTAACCAAGAGTGCATGCTTAGAGACGTGAGGTAGAAGAAAGAGACCCTGCTCCATTTACCCAGAGCTTTGTTCTCCACTGTCTCTCCTACAGCTATGTACATTAATGCCAACATGAGTTGAAAGAGCTGTAACTCAAATCTGTGCACTCTGTAAAATTCTGCAGCAGGGCAAGAGAGAGAGGTGGCAGCCCCCTGTACTTAAACATCCACTTAGATGTGCCCTGGTCTCCTTCAGAGACTCTGTTACCCACTTTCCTCTCTGCCAAATGCTTACCACCTCTACAATTCACAGTATCTGCTGTGGTTTTGTGGGATGCTGCTGCCTCCCTGCACCTGAAACAGCTTCCCCATAATTTTTTATTTATTATCTTAGAATCTAGGGAGCATGAAGGTCTGAATCAGTACCTTCTGGGGAGAAAAATGTTCAACTCTTTACGCAGTCACGTCCCTTGCAAGCCCACAAACCCTCCTGGATCTCCACAGATTAGATGGTTGTGAGCAAAGTGCACTTGTGAGGGCACAATATAAACACACGGACCTCCTGGTATGTGCATATCTGTTCATGCAGTGCTCAAGGAGCATGTCCCTTTTCAGCAGCCTTTCCGAACCTTCTGCAAACAATTAAAACCTAAGATTACCATAGGGAGGAAAAAAAAAATTAAGAATTGAAGCGTTCATTACATTTTCAGCCTTCTCCTAATTAACCCTCATTTGGCAGCTTCCTCACTGAAAGTCCAGAGGTTTCATTTTCACTCACATTTAATACCTGATTAAGCACTACTTACCCGTGACTAGCTATTCCCTATTAAGCAAAATGAATGCTAATACTGCCTTGAGTAAGGAAAATTGATTATCACTTCCTGGAATTAGGCTCATAAAACCATAATTCTGATTAAATGCATCTCAGACTGGAATATCCTCTACTTTCCACAACACATCTCTTCTTAAGTTCTAAAATTGCTCTCTCTGTTCTGTTTTAACAACAGTGTGATGCAATTTGGGTGGGGGGAGACACTGTACTGCTTCTATTAGAATGTCCTGGATGCAGATAGACCTTCTTGGTTCATTATTTTAATTTTCCTCACTGACTTTAAAGTGGGAACTACAAGTGCTCAAGAGAATGGACTTCACCCTTATTTAGTTGCATCCTCTGTAAATATCTGTCCCGCTAACATGTTCCCTTGTACCTTCTCACAAATCTAACAGCTCTCTTGAGAAACATCCTTACACCTTCCTCAGCCATAGATATGTTTTGTTTGGCCTCAAATCCAGCACAAAAGGCAGGAGCAGCTGCCATAGTCATATGAATGCTGCAGAGCTGCAACCTGGTACAGGGAGCACGGGTCTGGGTTATGAGGGGAATTTCTAGCACCATAATTAATGACATATGCAGAGGAGCATGCTCATCTCCACCACAACCAGCCTAGTTCTCCCAAGCAGCAGAGTGGGGAGTGTAGCAGGAAATGTCTGATGAGACTCACCAGGCAATCCCCTGTGAGCTCTCAATTTCACCAACCTCTCCTTGCCTCCCCCTACCCACAGACAGCAGCAGCACTATTAAATCCCAGTCTTCAAAAGCTTACTTAACTTCTTGTGACAGGAAAAGATGGGTCCTGACTCTTCTTTGCACACAACTGAAAAAAACTTCCTCTGGGCTTCCCTTGGTGTAAGTGCTTTGGTTTCCACAGGATGATTTGGTATTGCCATAGGGTGAGTCACTGACTAAGATTAAAAGGTTTTTGTGTTGTTAAAAGCCAAGGGAGGTGAAGCGAGGAATGCCCTGTCAGCTTCCCAGCTGGGCAGCACCAAAAATACACACACTCTCATTAGCTTTCATATAGTATAATTAACTTTATGAAATATCCTTTGCAGTCAGACTCTAAAAACACTTAGCTCACATAGTCTCCTAAACATTCAGAAGATAATATAAAGAATAATAATATAAATTTACTGAGATGAACATGCAGTGGCTCAGAGGGAACTGGAAGGTAGCATTTCAGGGGAATGGGGTAGCATCCTCTCCCATCTTTCATTTCTCTGAGAGTTTCAGGCAGGAGTGAAGGGCAGGCAGACAAGCAGAAAAAGCAGACACTGCTCTTTCAAACACTGCAGAACTTCAGCGGCCACCCTTGGGCTCCCAGGACTGCCCTGAGACAGCCTCTCTGCAGACACCAAGCAGTCTTCGGCAGCATAGCTTACTGAGAACTAATTTTGAGTTTTTAAGAAAAAAAACTCCACAAAAATATAGAAGTAACCAATCAACCTCTCACCTCTTCTCCCCCAACAATGAAAGCATGGGGGTTTTGCACAAGACATATAACTGCCTCCAACTGCCTCTGTTTTTCATCTTTCCTGGCTCAATTTTTTCCTCCCCAACACTTCTTGCATGGCCTGAGCAATTCAGTATGACAAGCATTAGTTATGAAGTAAAGCTTTTCAATTTGTAGTCTTGATGATATCATTAGTCCTCTAGCTGACAGCCCAGCATATTTATTGGATGACAAATCAGGCTCTAGCAAGTATTCATAAGCGAACCATTCTGCAGAGAGGTTAATCCTGGCTGTATTGTGTAACTGGAAGTCTCTGCTCTGGCACGACTGAGCAATGAACTGAGCAGCACTGCATTATGACACTAAATTCAGTTAAGATTTGTCAAAGAATTGAGTGGAAAAAGTAGCCTCATACTCATAGTCTCTCCTCTGAAGGGAGAGGAAAATCCCACAGTGTCTTGGTAGTAGAGATTCTCCCAATGTGGGAGCCCTCACGCTCCGTGACAGAAAGAACTTTCCCATTGGAAAGAATTTCACACTACCCTCAAAGAAAAAGGGTATTTCTTACGTCTTTCAGTCTTTCACCTAAAAATACTAAGGCTCAGCATGAAATTTAAAGACAGCAAACAGAAATAAGCTTGGAGGCGATGCCTCTTTACTCACCCATTGAAGACACTGGCTGCAACTGGATGACAATGCAGATACAGAAAAACAAGTACTGGAACATCCCAGTCAGCCAAGGAACAGTCACCACTCAAGTAACAGAGGCTTGAAAGCCCTTGCGCACGCTGAGGTTCTTGCAGCCTTCCTCTCGGTGGAACTTCTGAGCCCAAGCTTTCTGAAGAGCAAGAGTGATAGCTCTCCTGGAAGTTTATCAGAGGAAGAAGCAGAAGGGATGTGGGGTACAGCTCCAGCCTTGACCTCCACAGAGCACCTCTGCCCCTTATTGACAACAGAGATGTACTTATCAATCCATCTTGTTTTTTGGACTCAACCCGCTATTGTTTTCTATCCTGACTGCCCCACAGGGACACCTTCACTATCTTATCCAGAGAAAAATTCTAACCAGGGGACACCCGGACATCCCGAAGGGATGGAAAAGAAGAACAGATGGGTGCTTGTTATCTCTGCTCCTTCTACAAGTCATACGACTTCATGGCTCCTCACAGGCAAAAAGCACCAGCAGCCAGAAAGCCTTAACTACAGGAAATAGTGACCAAAGGAGGAGAACTGGTCCTTCCGAGCAGAGATTGCAGATGAGTGCTTGGAGCAGAGCTAAAATAGGAACATCAGTCACAGTGAAGGACTGGTGTCCCACAGGGAAGTAAGCCATTCCTATGCTACACAAAGACCCTTTACCCTCCTGGTCACACAACCTGACCACTGCAGCGAGATTAACAAACAAGGCAGAGAGATTTTTCAGAAGGAGTCTTATGATCTCTGTCTTCAAAAAACAAAACCAAACAAACAATCAAGAAACTCAACATCACTGAATTAACTTCCATGCAAAACTAAGTAATTAAGAACCTTTGCCTTACCAGTTCAAACCAAACTGAGTTGAGTTGCAGATCATAACCACATCCTCTGGCTATAGATGAGACGCAGGAAGAAATCTGTTCTCTACTACAGGAAACCAAGCAGCATTACTAGCAGCAAGAGAAATCAAGGACAACATGAATAAGCAGAAAGGGCTCTTCCCTCTCACCCCACTAGCTATAGCTCTTATAGAGAATAGATTTAAAGCTCTGTTTTTAACTCGTACATACATATACACAATCTACAGGTCCCTTCCTGCTGGAAATCATCTGCAGGCAGAAAGCACTCCATCAGCAAAGAGTACCGCTAAGCCTACAGTACTTGCACAAACAAGCAAGTGCAGGCAACTCCCCATTTCCTTTGCACCCTGCATTTCTGCAGCAGGTTGGCATAAGGAATAACATCAAGGTTGATTCGCTAGCTTCAAATACCAGTAGGAAAA